TTAAAGTTCAGAAACAGGGGAGAAAGAGAAATGAGGAAAGAGGGAATTAAAAGAAAGAAAGAAAGAAAGAAAAAAAGAAAGAAAGAAAGAAAGAAAGAAAGAAAAAGAAAGAAAGAAAGTCAAGAAGAAAAAATGAAAAGAGAGAGATAAAGAAATATATAGAGACGGGGTAAACAGCGGGAAAAGGAGAAAAAGAGAAAATGGGCTGAGACGGAATTGGAAGATTATAAAAGAAAGAAAGAAAGAAAGAAATGAATGAATGAAAGAAAGAAAGAAAGAAAGAAAGAAAGAAAGAAAGAAAGAAAGAAAGAAAGAAAGAAAGAGAAAGTGAGCAAGAGAGAATGAAAAAGATAGAGAGAGCGGAAAATCTTAAGAATCAGAAGAAAAGGAATGCAAGAAAAGAAGCAAGAGAAAGAAAGAAAGTTGCGGAGAGAGAAAAGAAAAGATAAAAAAAGTAAAGGTAGAAAAAGACGAGAAAGAAAAATGGGAAGTGGGAATAGTTGAGAGGAAATTGGAAGATTACAGAAAGAAAGAAAGAAAGAAAGAAACGAAGAAAGAAAGAAAGAAAGGAAGAAAGAAAGAAAGAAAGAAAGAAAGGACAAAAACAAAAAGAATCAGAAAGAGCAATAGAGAAAAAAGTGGAAAGCTGAAGGAAAAAAAGAGAACCGTGTGAATAAGAGAAAGAGAGAAGAAGAAGAAGAAGAAGAAGAAGAAGAAGAGGAGGAGGAGGAGGAGCAAAGAATGGAAAGGAAAGAGGAAAGGAGAATTTCTGAGAGAATAGAAAGCCAAATGATAAAATAGGAATGGAAAAAACAGAGGAAATGCGTTAAAATACAGCAATTAAAGAATAACAGAGAAAGGAAGGAAATTGCGAAGGAAGGAAGTTAAAGGAAGAACTGGGAGAATAACAGAGAGTGGAATAAAAAATAAGTGAAGGCGTAGAGAAAGTTAGAATGAAGAGAAAGGGAAGGGAAAAGAGAGAGAAAGAGAGAGAGAGAGATTCAAATATTGCCCGGTTCACACTATTGAACAGGAGTAGTGGACACAAAGGGAGGGAAAGAGAAAACAAGGGTAAAATAGTTGAAACGAAATTGAAAGACAGATTGTAAAACAGAAAAAAAGAAAGAAAGAAAGAAAGATGGGAGAGAGAGAGAGAAAAAGAATTTCGCGAGAAACGAGGAGAGAAGTGGAAAGAGAGGAAGCTATAAACAAATGGAGGAGGAAAGTGAGAGAGCGAATAGAAGTATATCAATTAGAATGCGTTTTTAAAGGAAAGAGCTGGTGAAAGATGATAGAGGAAGAAATGGAAAGAAATTCTGATTCAAAAAGAAAGAAAGAAAGAAAGAAAGAAAAATGAAAGAGAGAGAGAGAGAAAGAACGGTAAAGATGGGTTAGTATAAAAATGTATGCAGACGATGATATAGGACATAACGTGGGTTTTTAAAAAAAATACGTATTAGCACTGAAGGTAACTAAAAAAATAAATAAAATAAAAAGAGCGAGCCATATAGATATACAGTGAAAGAGAGAGAGTGAGAGAGAGAGAGAGAGAGAAAGGAAGGAAAAGAGAGATGAAATAAAAGAAGCACAAAGAAAAAGCGAGAGACTATTTCGTTGTCTGCCAAAAAAAAAAATATGTCGGACCAGCTGCGAAATTTGACCGGGTTTCAATGAATTTGTTCGTACTCACTGTGAAAAAAGCTAGACACACCTGTAACCACTAGAAGAAGAAAGACCAGTGAAAGTGAGACGAAACCCACAAGAAGGCTCATATGGAAATATTGAGTAAAAGTTAGAAATAAATAAATTAAAAACCAAAAAAAAAAAAAAAAGAAAAGAAAAAGAAAAGAAAAGAAAAAATAAACAAAACGAGAAATCCTCGAAATAAAACGTGTAATCGAAAAGCAATTGAAAACGCGCCAATCTCACAAGCATTTAAACGTCATTTTCATCTTGACAGGGCACTCCTGGACTAAAACATGACTTTTTCATAGTTGCGATTTGGTTCAAATATTTCAAAAGGAAGCAGTTTTAAAAATGAAAATAACAAGGCTAATAGTCAAAATTAAGAGTGAAAAAAATCCTTTAAAATTTGAAATAAATTATTTAATTGTGAACTTCCTTGCGAGTTTGACGATTATAAAATACCCACGAATATTCCTCTTAATCCATCGGCAAATATTTGAGTTTGGCTGGGTTTATTTTCTTTCGATTTTAACCCAAGCCTTTAACGGTTTTCCCTCAGGAAATACGTCGCCGCCGGGAGGGCTTGGGTTTATTGCCCAGCGCCTGAGGCGTCCCCAAAAGAGGAAATGCCGAAAGGGCTTGGGAATTTTTGCTCGGTATGACCGTTAAACTCACTTCAAACTTCGAGCTTGGGTCACATATGGTTGCAATGTCTCCACCCCACCCTGGAAAATGCCTATTTGAGCTTAAGAACTTTAACAAAATATTACATTTGAATGTAGGTCGTTATTTAAAGAAGTAAGAGGGTACTAATAAAAATATTAAAAATGGAGAATGTTTACCATTTTACTGAAGTAGACGTTAAACCTTCCTTCTTTCTCTCTCTCTCATTCTTTCATTCTTTCTTTCTTTCTTTCTTTCTTTCTTTCTTTCTTTTCCCTAATACCAAATACCGCTTCAATATATAATTTCTTCAGTTTTTTGCAATTAGACCGAAACGGCACATTTTTTATCTGCGGCAATGGCAGGGCGTAAAGTTAGCGCTAAGGATCAAGGAAAATAACAATACGATAATAATGACAGTAACAACAACAACAGCAACAACAACAATAATAACAATAATAATAATAATAATAATAATAAATGTCACCCATGAGGACATTAACAATTCCACTTGTAGTTGGAGTCCTCAGATTGATTGGAAAAGTTACCAGTATACTCACTGAAAGGATTCCTGGTAGCCCATGCCTTATAGAAATACAAAATATTGTACTCACAAGTACACCCCATGCCTTCCGGGCTCTATCTATGTAAAATACGTGGGATTTTAAGTGGAAAATTTCATGATGCCATTTTTGACTTTAGGTCTCTATTTGGAACCCGGAAAGAAATAATTATACACCAGAAATCAAAGAAAATAAAAGAAAAACATTATTATTATTATTATAAATAATAATAATAATAATAATAATAATAATAATAATAAGAAGAAGAAGAAGAAGAAGAAGAAGTTAATATTTTGGGGAATAATACCATTCATATTGACAAGAAATAGAAAAAAATTGTACTCACAAGTACAGCGCACACCTTACGAAGGGTTTTATCTATGTAAGATATATGTGGTTTTTTTCAAAACTGCTCTGTGGAAAATATCATGATTCTATTTCTGACCTTAGGTCTCTGGTTGGGACCAGGAAAGAAATGAGTAGATACCAGAAATCAAAGAAAATAATAATAATAACAACAACAACAACAACTGCCGTAAAGTTGCCTTTCCGTACATTTTTTATAAATACTTTCATGGTATTTGTTCGGGTGAATTCTTAGTTAAGGTATGTATGCTTATTAGCTCCTTTTATTTTTGTCCATATTTTTCTTTAGTTTAATTCCCCATCCCCTTCCTCGTTAGGTGATCAGTGATATCAGTTCTCTGGCGGATGAGAGGCGTCTTTCGTTTCGGGTGTGTTCTTCGTATTTGAATGGGTGTGTGTTTGAGTGAGTGCATGAGATGAATGAATGTTTTATATATTGTAATATTCCCGCATTGATTTTGTCCAGTTCACTGATGTTTCTGTCACATTTAAGGATTAGAGAGGGGACATTACTAACATTATTTTATGTGGTTTCTTGTAACGAATTTCCTTTTCATATTTTAAATATTCATTGGGGCTAATTTTTAAATTGTTGTTCCCCCCCCCCCAAGCACATTCAATGAATTGTACATATGGGGTTTAGTTAGGATTATTATAGAGACAATGAGGTATTATGGTGTATGAAGTAAGAAAGAATGCGTTGTTTTGGTGTTAGGATTATTGTGGTATGTTTGGGTCAGTGTTTGTGGCTAGCTCAGATTAAAGTTAAGACAGATGTAGAAAGGCTTTTTCCTAATTCCCATTTTTGTCCTTGTGCCACATTTTGTAAATAATTACAAATAAATATCGCTCTTCGCAATGGTACCTAGACTGTTTAAATTTAAGCGCTGTACTAGACTGGGGACGAGGTTTCATCAATTCACAGTTCAGTTGGCTAGACGTAAACGTGAGTTCTATGCTAACAGTTCTTTTTTTTCTTAATTCTCAATTCTGGGACTCTCTTCTCGCTCTATACTTTCCAGTCAATCTTCAGTCTTCAGAAATTTAAATGCCATATCGATCACTATCTGCTGTCTTCGTGATTACTCTTCCTTTGCTTCCACTCCAATGTTTCTGTTTTCTAACTGATCCACACTCAGTAATCCGTTGTGTCTAAGTGGCTTTAAAGCCTTGCTTGGGGTGAAAATGCTTTAAAATATTGCCCGAATGCAACACTAATCGTACCTCTTATAGCTTCAGATGTTAAGTAATTGGAAGTTTTAACGTGTATATCTTTTTCTTAGGTAATTAAGATGGGCTACAGTAAATAACCTTCAGAGTCTGTCTATATTTCTGAGATGAGGTATTATGTACATTATTTACATTATTCGGACTATTGTCCTCATCTTTGTCGCCATATTTATCACAAAGTTTCGGCCGTTGTACGCTCCGGCCTTCTACAGGTGGTTAGAATGTCGAACTGGACAGGGAGCATTATTGGAAAATTCGTAAACTTAAGGAATCAGCACATATGCTAGGCCACAAAAATCTCCTGAGCCGACCAAGCATAGAAATGAATACAACATGGGAACCAGTAATAAGGAGTGCCAGAGAAAAGCAATAATAACAACAAAAAGTTGCAATATGAGCTCTGGTAAAAACATGAATGATAACAGCAAAATTGCAATATGAGCACTGGTAAAAATGGTTGCTGAAGACATTAGGTTTATAATACCCAGAAATTCATACCCAGATATCCTGAAGGACACATGGATAAAGGCGTTGGTTAGATCCAGTGACAGGACCCAAAGAGTATGAGTTCAATACTCGGTTAAGGCAGTGGAGAACTTTCAGATGGAAAATTAACAGGAGATAACTGATAACTGACATCCATTAAACATGGCACGTGGAACTAGAACAGTATACCCCAGTGAGCGAAATAAAGGGTTCAGTTCAACATTCCAACCACCTGAAGAAGGCCGGAGCGTACAACGGCCGAAACGTTGTGATAAATATGGCGACAAAGATGAAGTCAATAGTACGTTCAGTACGAAAGATTTGCTTGTCAATTGCCTGAGATTCATTTGGCGATATACCTTAAAAGCTTGTCTTCATTTGGGCATATACCCTAAGTGTTTCCTTATCAGGGTTGTCTTTTTTTAGTTTTGAGGGGAGAGGCAGTCAAGGCGATTTATGAGTCACATTTAGATTGCAGAGAAAACTCTCATTAGGAAACAGTCTTAGCGGACAGTGTTACTCGTTCCTCAATGTATTTCAAACTGGTCCCTACCTGCCTTTATCAAAACCTGCGTCAATCACATGTGCCTGGCAAATCTTTGTCAGATTAATTGATTCGTTTTCTACGGCTTATCAACCCTTTGCAGGTTATTTAAAGCCAGAAAATAGAAGACAAGTAGATATGATTAAAGGAGACGTTGATAAAGATTTGAAACAGAAAGGCGGATAGACATGTGGAAATTGAGATAGAAAGATAAGAATAACCCAAGTCGATAGATAGATATGAAGATTTCATTGATTGATTCATTCGTTTTCTACGGCTTATCAACCCTTTACAGGTTATTTAAAGCCAGAAAATAGGAGACAACTAGATATGATTAAAGGAGACGTTGATAAAGATTTGAAACAGAAAGGCGGATAGACATTTGGAAATTGAGATAGAAAGATAAGAATAACCCAAGTCGATAGATAGATATGAAGATTTCATTGATTGATTGATTTTCTACAGTTTATCAACAATTTGCCCGTTATTTAAAGCAAGAAAATCTTTTAGATTTTAAAATTTCTTTTACATAATAATGGTTTAATTATCGAAAATATTCCCAATTATGGACTCATATCTTTCCCAAGGTTTGATGATTGAATGTTTTGTTTTCTACGACTTATTCAATCCTTTGCAGGTTATTTTAAGCCAGAAAATATTTTTTAGATTGTAAGAAGTTTTTTGGGATTTTTTTTAGGTAATAATGTTTTAATGATACACGTTTTACTAATTGATCTATAGCCGGAGGGAAAAGATGGATTCATACCATTCCCCAAGATTATTTTTTGCGTAAGTGAATATAACGAGCCCAACGGTGATTGGAACCCGGTTCTCCGATTATCAATTCTAAACCATTAACCACTACCGCATCTGCACATCCAATCTTACAGCATCTCATATTCCCAAGCGGTCACTCATCTAGGTACTGCCAGGTTCAACATTGCTTAACTTCATCGGGATGTGACCGTAAGCCTTATTCACACTGAGTATTATCGTATATTTGTACCCTAGCATTATTTTGTTTTATTATTCTTGGTATAATTAGAGGTTGCAAATTGTATTAAAATTTGCCCTCAGTTTTTCGAGACAGTATCTCCTTGCCGTTGACAGTGACTTTTCTCTGTCAAATATTATATCATTGCAACATTTCATGAATGATTATAAACTTAAAAAACAAATGTTACAAACTAAAAAAGCAAAGGCATTAATTAGTCAAGTAGATAGCCTCCATTGT